TTCGCAGTCATTTTTCGAATACATTGCTTTATTGTGGACGTGACAGAGAATAAATGCAAAGCTATTTATGTAGCATTCACGCGTGACCTTTGCCAATATGTTTGACATGTTCTCCCGTAAGAGATTGAAGCAGGCGTTACACAAACGCTATGAATATTATACTGGAATGATGGGGACATTACGAGCTGTATTAAACCTTTGCATTAAGGACGACAATTTGCACAGATTTGCATGCTGGGATATTATAAAACCTAAAGGGTCAATCTGAGCTAAAAATGGCCATTATTAATATTGTATTGTACAGATAATGCATTCAAATATAACACAAATAATAATATCACATATGAACATGGATACAGATTTCTCTGCGTGTACTGTAAATCCCTGCGCCGTGCGCACTCAAAGTGAGCCTTTCCTACTTTATGCTCATTCAACAGAACTTATATAATGTCATCCCTGCACTGTACTAGCAGATTTACTAGCAAATGTGTAGATTGGAAGCAAAACCTATTTGAAATTAGGTATTTTTCCAAGCTGTCAATCAAATTTTTGGTGTACACTACTGTGCTGAGTAGCTGACTGATGGATAGAGCAGGAGAACTCTCATGCATGCAGTACTACTGCCCTCCATAGCTAGAAACTAAATTGGATGTGCTGTGCTATGGTAACTACATCAGTGACGCAGTTAGTGCTGGCTAAGGGGTATTGGAATGGAGAGACTGATGCTGGCCATAAAAACAATATGTTGCCAAAGGTTTCCTGGGAACTGTAGTTCAGTTGTCACCTTCCACTAAGAGCCCCGAGATCAGCAGTATTGCCGGGGAGGGGACATGGTATGGGTGCTGTGCAGAGCCCTAGGATCCGTGGTATTGCCGGGGAGGGGGCATGGTATGGGTGCTGTGCAGAACCCCAGGATCCGTGGTATTGCCGGGGAGGGGGCACGGTATGGGTAATGTGCAGAGCCCCAGGATCCGTGGTATTGCCGGGGAGGGGGCATGGTATGGGTGCTGTGCAGAGACCCAGGATCTGTGGTATTGCCGGAGGGGGCATGGTATGGGTAATGCAGAGCCCCAGGATCCGTGGTATTGCCGGGGAGGGGGCACGGTATGGGTGCTGTGCAGAGCCCCAGGATCCGTGGTATTGCCGGGGATGGGGCATGGTATGGGTGCTGTGCAGAGCCCCAGGATCCGTGGTATTGCCGGGGAGGGGACATGGTATGGGTGCTGTGCAAGAGCTCCAGGATCCGTGGTATTGCCGGGGAGGGGGCATGGTATGGGTGCTGTGCAGAGACCCAGGATCCGTGGTATTGCCGGGGAGGGGGCACGGTATGGGTGCTGTGCAGAGACCCAGGATCCGTGGTATTGCCGGGGAGGGGGCACGGTATGGGTGCTGTGCAGAGACCCAGGATCCGTGGGTTGTTGCGGGGAGGGCATGGTATGGGTATGTGCAGAGACCAGGATCCGTGGTATTGCGGGGAGGGGCGGTATGGGTCTGTGCAGAGCCCCAGGATCCGTGGTATTGCGGGGATGGGGCATGTGTAAGGTGCTGTGCAGAGACCCAGGATCCGTGGTATTGCGAGGTGAGGGGCATGGTATGGGTGCTGTGCAGAGACCAGGATCCGTGGTATTGCCGGGAGGGGCATGGTATGGGTGTGGGTGGGTGGGGGGTGGTTGGTTGTGCAGGAGCCCCAGGATCCGCGGTATTGCGGGAGAGGTTGGTTGTGTGGTGGGGGGGGTAATGTGCAGAGCCCCAGGATCCGTGGTATTGCCGGGAGGCATGGGTATGGTGTGCTGTGCAGAGACCCAGGATCGGTATTGCCGGGGAGGGCATGGTATGGGTGCTGTGCAGAGACCCAGGATCTGTGGTATTGCCGGGGAGGGGGCATGGTATGGGTGCTGTGCAGAGACCCAGTATCCGTGGTATTGCCGGGGAGGGGGCATGGTATGGGTGCTGTGCAGAGACTCAGGATCCGTGGTATTGCCGGGGAGGGGGCATGGTATGGGTGCTGTGCAGAGACCCAGGATCCGTGGTATTGCCGGGGAGGGGGCATGGTATAGGTGCTGTGCAGAGACCCAGGATCCGTGGTATTGCCGGGGAGGGGGCATGGTATGGGTGCTGTGCAGAGACCCAGGATCCGTGGTATTGCCGGGGAGGGGGCATGGTATGGGTGCTGTGCAGAGACCCAGGATCCGTGGTATTGCGGGAAAGGGGCATAGTATAGGTAATGTGCAGAGCTCCAGATCAAATATTATTGCAGGGGAGAGGCATGGTATGGGTATGTACGAGCCCAGGATCCGATGTGTATTGCGGGGAGGCATGGTATAGGTGCTGTGCAGAACCCAGGGTCCGTGAAGCTGTGCGGGGAGGGGCATGGTATGGAGTGCTGTGCAGAACCCAGGATCCCAAATGAGCATTGCAGGGAGGGGCATAGTATGGGTAATGTGCAGAGCTCCAGGATCGATGGTGTGCGGGGAGGGCATAGTATAGGTAATGCAGAACCAAGTCAAGTAGTATGTGCAGGGGAGGGCATGGTATGGGTGCTGTGCAGAACCAGAGATCCGTGTGTGCAGGGGAGGGCATAGTATAGGTGCTGTGCAGAACCCAGGGTCCGTGGTATTGCGGGGAGGGAAGGCATAGTATGGGTGCTGTGCAGAGACAGGATCAAATGTGTGCGGGGAGGGCATGTTAGTGCTGTGCAGAACCCAGGATCCGTGGTATTGCGGGGAGGGCATGGCCCATGGGTGCTGTGCGAGCCAAGATCCCGTGGTATTGCGGGGAGGGCATGGTATGGGTGCTGTGTGCTGACAGGAGTCAGTGGTATTGCGGGGAGGGCATGGTATGGGTGTTGTGCAGGGCCAGGATCCGTGGTATTGCGGGGAGGGGCATGAGTGGTGGTGCTGTGCAGAGACAGGGTCGTGGTATTGCGGGGAGGGCATGGTATGGGTGCTGTGCAGAGAGTGTGGTTTGGGGGTGTGTGTGTGGCCAGGATCCGTGGTATTGCGGGGAGGGCATGGTATGGGTGTGGGGTGTGGTTTGGGGGGTGTATTAGTGCTGTGCAGAACTTAGGATCCGTGGTATTGCGGGGATGGGGCATGGTATAGGTGTTGTGCAGAGACCCAGGATCCGTGGTATTGCGGGGAGGGGGCATGGTATTAGTGCTGTGCAGAGACCCAGGATCCGTGGTATTGCCGGGGAGGGGGCATGGTATGGGTGTTGTGCAGAGCCCCAGGATCCGTGGTATTGCCGGGGAGGGGGCATGGTATTAGTGCTGTGCAGAGACCCAGGATCCGTGGTATTGCCGGGGAGGGAGCATGGTATGGGTGCTGTGCAGAGCCCCAGGATCCGTGGTATTGCCGGGGAGGGGGCATGGTATGGGTGCTGTGCAGAGACCCAGATTTTGTCAAATTGCTTTCTAAATGACAAAGAGGAAGGTGTCGCAGACTACTGGTAGCAGACATTACACTGAGCTGCAGTGGGTATGGTGTTACGATTGCCCCTTTAATACCACACTGTGCCAGCCTATTGGATGCCTGGAGTCCTTCTTTATAGGAAATTGGGTATTCAAGGTCAGATGCATGTGATTTTGGTTACATTTTTAAAGAGGGGATCTAAATTCAGACTCTCCAATTACCTGTAGCAGTGCTTTATCAATAATGCAGAGGTTATTAAATTAAACAGCTCTCTGTTCCAGGAAAGCTTGCATATTCTAATTACTGTGATTTGCAGGCTTCATAGCACGGTCAATCGCTCGATTTGTTATCTTTGTTCTTTTTTTGTTTTCACTTTGATATCAGTTCATGTTTTGTCGATTTTCTATTTTACCATTTGCAGAAATTCATTTACAGCTTCAGCTCTTAACGTCTTCATTTGAGACAGAATAGCAAAGTAATTGGAGGTAGGTATAGTAAATACAATGATGTTTTTATTTTTGTTTTAGTTGAGATATAGGCTGACCTGCTGCAAAATCATTTGCCCCCAAATCTGTTGAGACTATGAGGGGCCGATCAGTGATTTGGCTATTAAACAGACTATGACAGGCAGAGCTGGGATGAGAGATTTGATATAGAAAAGTCCTATAATAATTAACATGAGTGGGGGACAGACTCTCTAATAGTCACAGCAGGTAAGTACCCACCATGCACAAAGACCAAAGATAAATACAGACACGAGTGAGGGGTACCTACCATGCACAGAGATTGTAATATGTCCACCCAGCAAAACCACGTACTGCGGCTTGGGGCAGTATATCATATCCATTACCCCCCCCCCTCCCCCCTGGGCTGTTTGCTATATAAATAGAGCAACATTATGACTCTTTAATAGAAGGTACATCCAGCTAAAGCATTCCATTCTGAAGTATGAGTCACTTAATTTCACTAATGACATCATTAGCATTACAAACTAATTAAATCTCTTTAGCTGCCAGGCAACATCAAGCTGCCTAAATGTGGGATTCTCAGTAGATATTAAACGGAAACAACTGCAAATATTTAACTCTTGATATATTCTATCGTAAACTTAGATTTCCTACATTGCAGAACTGTCATGTCCCATCCCTTTAGTGTAAATAAATATAAATATATATATTTTGGTTACTTTCCCCCTCCAGTGTGAGCTGCTGTGTTCCCTGAGTATTCTACAGACAGCAGTTACATTGTAATGTCCGTATCCCTTTAGTGTAAAAGATATTGGGGGGGGGTTTGGTTAATTACCCCCCTTCAGTGTGAGCTGCTGTGTTCCCTGAGTATTCTACAGACAGCAATTACATTGTAATGTCCGTATCCCTTTAGTGTAAAAGATATTGGGGTTTTTTGGTTAATTGCCCCCTCCACTGTGAGCTGCTGTGTTCCCTGAGTATTCTACAGACAGCAGTTACATTGTAATGTCCGTATCCCTTTAGTGTAAAAGATATTGGGGGGGTGTTGGTTAATTGCCCCCTCCAGTGTGAGCTGCTGGGATCTCTGAGTATTATACAGACAGCAGTTACATTGTAATGTCCGTATCCCTTTAGTGTAAAAGATATTGGGGGGGGGTTTGGTTAATTGCCCCCCTCCAGTGTGAGCTGCTGTGTTCCCTGAGTATTCTACAGACAGCAGTTACATTGTAATGTCCGTATCCCTTTAGTGTAAAAGATATTGGGGGGGGTTTGGTTAATTGCCCCCTCCAGTGTGAGCTGCTGTGTTCCCTGAGTATTCTACAGACAGCAGTTACATTGTAATGTCCGTATCCCTTTAGTGTAAAAGATATTGGGGGGTTTGGTTAATTGCCCCCTCCAGTGTGAGCTGCTGTGTTCCCTGAGTATTCTACAGACAGCAGTTACATTGTAATGTCCGTATCCCTTTAGTGTAAAAGATATTGGTTTTTTTTTTGGTTAATTGCCCCCTCCATTGTGAGCTGCTGTTCGCTGAGTATTCTACAGACAGAAGTTACATTGTACTGTCCGTATCCCTTTAGTGCAAAAGATATTGGCGGAGGGGAATTGGTTAATTGCCTCCTCCAGTGTGAGCTGCTGTGTTCCCTGAGTATTCTACAGACAGCAGTTACATTGTAATGTCCGTATCCCTTTAGTGTAAAAGATATTGGTTTTTTTTTTGGTTAATTGCCCCCTCCATTGTGAGCTGCTGTTCGCTGAGTATTCTACAGACAGAAGTTACATTGTACTGTCCGTATCCCTTTAGTGCAAAAGATATTGGCGGAGGGGAATTGGTTAATTGCCTCCTCCAGTGTGAGCTGCTGTGTTCCCTGAGTATTCTACAGACAGCAGTTACATTGTAATGTCCGTATCCCTTTAGTGTAAAAGATATTGGTTTTTTTTTTGGTTAATTGCCCCCTCCATTGTGAGCTGCTGTTCGCTGAGTATTCTACAGACAGAAGTTACATTGTACTGTCCGTATCCCTTTAGTGCAAAAGATATTGGCGGAGGGGAATTGGTTAATTGCCTCCTCCAGTGTGAGCTGCTGTGTTCCCTGAGTATTCTACAGACAGCAGTTACATTGTAATGTCCGTATCCCTTTAGTGTAAAAGATATTGGGGGGGGAGGGGGAAGGGGGGTTGGTTAATTGTCCCCTCCAGTGTGAGCTACTGTGTTCCCTGAGTATTCTACAGACAGCAGTCAGTCTATCTAACTGTTTGGATCAGTGACAGCAGCCTGATATGCTCTGCTTCGAGGAGTCACTGTCAATAGACAATAGAGTGGAGAGCGGAATAAAATACCTAATATTTTACTAAATGGACCGACTTAAAAGTACATTTGTTTGTGAAGGAATGACTGTAACTGCTCTACGCCGAGGAGCCTGTAAACTGAGTCCAGTGGAAGCACATTATGCGATTTGTCAAAACATTTTATCTGGTTTTTAAATCTCAATATTATGTTTAGCAGGATCCATGTTTCTCTTTTTTTCCCCAATAAATAATTTGTAAATCTTTCTCGTGGAGATGCTGCTGTAGGTACAGTGAGAACTCTTCCCATGAATTAGATACATTAATCAAATCATACGACTACCTAGTATCCCTTAATCAGATTAAAATCCCAGCCTCGCCAGGTGTGATACGGCTTCATTTATTGTAATGCAGAATTAAATTCAATCAGTCACAGACTGGAGACGCTATATAGACATTTGTTGTTCTCAGTCCTCTGAATGCAGGGTTTTGGCAACTCATCCGTTTTATATGTTTAAATATAGTTATACCAAAATGTCCCTTTTAATTAATGGACAGTTTCATCCTGTAATTATACCCCTTTCCTTTAGACCCCATCACAGCACATTTGCACAGGTCACGCCTCTCGTCATAGTTACATTTGTGTTAGTGTGTATTATACACTAAGTTATCATAATTAATTAAATAGTGACTCATATCTTTCTTAAAATATGTCATTTTATTTTCTTCCAAACCATAATTTTGTGCCTGCCTGCCCCGCCATAACTAACCAAAGCTTTAATTCACTGCTTGTGTTAGTTGTGCCTTGTTCTGCGAGTAAAAGGGACATGCGAATCACCGTGGCACAGCTTGCTGTGGTGGTTATGGTAAAGATGTCTCTGCAGTATGGCGCCTCCTTGGTAGTCACAGCCTGGCGGCCAGGCCACTGTGGACATGATGGATATGGTGGCATTAAGACCTATATTCAAGCACAGGGTTATTCCATTCTGGGCACAGTCATGGTTTCCCTGGGATTAGTTAAAGGGACACTATAGTCAACAAAAGAACTTTAGTTTAATGAAGCAGTTTTAGTGTATAGATCATGCCCCTGCAGTCTCACTGCTCAATTCTCTGCCATTTAGGAGTTAAATCACTTTGTTTATGCAGCCCTGGCCATACATCATTGCATGACAGCCTTCATAAACCCTTCCTGTAAAGAGTCATCTAATATTTACACTTCCTATACTGCAAACCCTGCTTAATTTAGATTTTCTTATCTCCTGCTCTGTTAATAGCTTGCTAGACCGTGCAGTACTCTCCTGTATGTAATTTAAGTTCAATTTACAGAGCAGGAGATAACTTTTAAAGTAAGTTACATCTAAATGAAAATGGAACCATTTTTTTCTCATGCAGGCTATGTCAGTCACAGCCAGAGGAGGTGTGACTAAGCTGCATAAACAGAAACAAAGTAATTTTAACTCCGATATGATAGAGAATTGAACAGTGAGACTTCAGAGGCAAAATCTATACACAAACACTGCTTAATTAAGCAAACGTTGTATTGGTGACTATAGTGTCCCTTTAAGAAATTCTGCTTTGGATTTCAGAAAACGCAGCTTTAATCTCCTGTCTGTCATGCGTTCCTGTCTGTGGAAATGCTGCGCCAGAGCCTTACTGAATTCCTCTATCAATATTGCTCTCTTCCCCCTCTCATAATCTTCTCGTCCCTTGTGAACACAGCTACATGCGTTTGGACTAAAGTCCGTGAGAGAAACCTGATGTGGTCTTAATTCAGTTTTTATATTTTATTTCATTACTTTATTTGACTAATATTGTGCTCATTGTGTCTGACAGTGGGCAGGGTTGTTTTAGAAGCACACATCTCACCGTTTATAATCCGGGTGTGTGATACAAAGTGAAGTGTCAGCTCTGCAACAGTGAGCATCCCTGCACTTAGGGTTTTAAAATATTAGGGTTCGTGAACTCTGTAGACTGGATACTGCCTGTAATCCTGTATAGCTTGGTTTGGCTGTATGTGCGTGTTGTTACAATAAATGTATGGAATGATGGAACATGGGGCAATATATGATTCCGACCTCCGTCTCTATGCGGTCTCTGTGATATGTGTCTACGCTGTGTCTCTGTCTGTGATGTGTCTCTATGCTGTGTCTCTGTCTCTGTGATGTGTCTCTATGCTGTGTCTCCGTCTCTATATGTCTCTATGCTGTGTCTCTGTCTCTATATGTCTCTATGCTGTGTCTCTGTCTCTGTGATGTGTCTCTGTATCTGATATGTCTCTATGCTGTCTCTGTGATGTGTCTCTATGCTGTGTTTCTGTCTCTATGCTGTGTCTCTATGCTGTGTCTCTGTGATGTGTCTCTGTGATGTGTCTCTGTGATATGTCTCTATGCTGTCTCTCTGTCTCTGTGATGTGTCTCTCTGCTGTGTCTCCGTCTCTATGCTGTCTCTGTGATATGTCTCTATGCTGTCTCTCTGTCTCTGTGATTTGTCTCTATGCTGTGTCTCTGTAATGTGTCTCTATGCTGTGTCTCTGTCTCTGTGATGTGTCTCTATGTTGTGTCTCTGTATCTATATGTCTCTATGCTGTGTCTCTGTCTCTGTGATGTGTCTCTGTGATATGTCTCTATGCTGTCTCTCTGTCTCTGTGATTTGTCTCTATGCTGTGTCTCTGTAATGTGTCTCTATGCTGTGTCTCTGTCTCTGTGATGTGTCTCTATGCTGTGTCTCTGTCTCTATGCTGTGTCTCTATGCTGTGTCTCTGTGATGTGTCTCTGTGATATGTCTCTATGCTGTCTCTCTGTCTCTGTGATTTGTCTCTATGCTGTGTCTCTGTAATGTGTCTCTATGCTCTGTCTCTGTCTCTGTGATGTGTCTCTATGTTGTGTCTCTGTATCTATATGTTTCTATGCTGTTTCTCTGTCTCTGATGTATCTCTGTGCAATCTCTATGCTGTGTTTCTTAGCTGTGTTTCTATGTTGTCTCTGTAATGTGTCTCTATGCTGTGTCTCTGTCTCTGTGATGTGTCTCTATGTTGTGTCTCTGTATCTATATGTCTCTATGCTGTGTCTCTGTCTCTGTGATGTGTCTCTATGTTGTGTCTCTGTATCTATATGTTTCTATGCTGTTTCTCTGTCTCTGATGTATCTCTGTGCAATCTCTATGCTGTGTTTCTTAGCTGTGTTTCTATGTTGTCTCTGTAATGTGTCTCTATGCTGTCTCTCTGTCTCTGTGATTTGTCTCTATGCTGTGTCTCTGTAATGTGTCTCTATGCTGTGTCTCTGTCTCTGTGATGTGTCTCTATGCTGTGTTTCTGTCTCTATGCTGTGTCTCTATGCTGTGTCTCTGTGATGTGTCTCTGTGATGTGTCTCTATGCTGTCTCTCTGTCTCTGTGATGTGTCTCTCTGCTGTGTCTCCGTCTCTATGCTGTCTCTGTGATGTGTCTCTGTGATATGTCTCTATGCTGTCTCTCTGTCTCTGTGATGTGTCTCTATGCTGTGTCTCTGTAATGTGTCTCTATGCTGTGTCTCTGTCTCTGTGATGTGTCTCTATGTTGTGTCTCTGTATCTATATGTTTCTATGCTGTTTCTCTGTCTCTGATGTATCTCTGTGCAATCTCTATGCTGTGTTTCTTAGCTGTGTTTCTATGTTGTCTCTGTGATGTGTCTCTGTGCTGTCTCTGTGATGTATCTCTGCACAGTCTCTATGTTGTGTCTGTCTCTTTGATGTGTCTCTATGCTGTGTCTCTGTTTCTTAGCTGTGTCTCTATGCTGTGTGTCTGTCTCTGTGATCTGTCTCTGCGTGATATCTCTCAATGAAGTATCTCAGTAATGTATCTCAACTAAGTGGGGCCCTAAATCCTAGAGCTATAGTGGTCCTTTAACCTAGTTATTTTATTGTTACAGAGCATTAAGGGAGATTGAGATGGTATATACACACTTTTTATAAAGGAATTAACAGAGTCCTTTAGCAAATTATTTATTTATAAAATATTTTACCATGAAGGATACATTGAGATTTCTCTCGTTTTCAAGTATGTCCTGGGCCGACAAACATTGCATTGTTACAATAGGATACAATATTCCAAAAATACAATATACAAACTATATTAAAAAAAATAAAAAATAACCCTCTCTGTCTCATTAGAGATATCTTTGCCTGAAACTCGAGGAAGCAAGGTGAAGGGTCAGTATAGGACCCACCTAGGGGGGTCTGCCTTGACATTGGCAGGCGGGCATTCCTTCCAATGACCATTGGAGTAACTAGATGACCTCCATTTGTTTAAATATACATAGAGATTTAGGAGAGAGCGCAGGTAACTTTTTCTTTGGTTTTTACTGTAAATATTGGGGCTGATGTGTACTGTGGTCGTTGCTGCTGCCCAGGAGTGATGGGAGTGAGCGCAGGACTTATCTTTTTGTATTTGTAAACTATATATATATATATATATATAAAATAACAGGTAATCAATATATTCAACCATGACAGGTGCCGGGAGCAATGATATTGGGCGAAAGTTAGATACCAAAGTCTTGTCACCACTTTTATGAATAGGTACAACTTTTGCAGTCTTCCAAAGTTTGGGTATGTGTCCAGACACCAGGGATTCATTGATAAGGGTAATGACGGGTTTAGCAATTGCTGGTTCACTGAGCTTCAGCAACATTTCTGGGATTTGATCTGGTCCACACTGGTTTTTCATTTTTAAATTATTAAGATGTTTATTAATGACACTAACAGGCACAGGTCTAAAATTGAATTTCTCTAAATGAGGATTTTGAAGATTTGGCAGGGCCTGATCTTTATTTGTGGTCTGAAAATGACTGTCATTTATTATCTTAGCAAGATCTGCCCATCTGTAGTCCATGTCCAAGGAAGGCAAACGTGGTCACACAATCACTTACCATTTAAGAAATACACAAATACAACCATGACATACAGGATTGGAGAGTTTGTGGGGAAACATTCTGGCATGTTCTCCTCCCACCAGCTACATTTAGCCCAAAATGACACTTCTTAAACATAGACGATATGAGGGATTTTATTTTTAAAGCCAGCTATTTAAAACAGGTTTTCCAATGTGATCGTCTTTTCTCCACAATTCCCTGTGTATTCACCGCCCACCTCTGTGGCTCGCTCCCATAATATACACAAACAGGACGTGTTTTCATTCAGCTATGGAAGAAATAAATGATAAAATATAATTGTGTAAAGAGCTGTTCTGGTAATAGCTGGATCTCTGTTCTGGCCATTACAGAATGGAATTAGATCCCTTACCATAGGTACTCATTACAAACAAATGTCTTTATTGTTCTGCACTCAAATTAAAAGCCTTTGGTTGAAGGGCGTCATACTGTAAAGCTCTAGGAGGTGAAATTTCTCCCTCACTGTGACTTGCCGCATAATAATTGCAGACTCAATGAAAACATTAAACGATTTGATATAAAAAAAAGCTTTATTTTCCATCTAAATCCAGCCGACATGATTTGGGTCGCACAGAAGACAAATTCCTGCAGATTAGAAGATGAGGAAAACATCACGAACTGCACATTGATGGACCGTATACTATGATGAAAAGACGGACTGCGTGTCGATGGACCATATACGATGACGAAGAGGTGGACTGCACGTTGATGGACTGTATAAGATGACGAAGAGACAGACTGCGTGTCGATGGACCATATACGATGACAAAGAGACGGATTGCGCATCGATGGACCATACTATGATGAAAAGACGGACTGCGTGTCGATGGACCATATACTATGACGAAGAGGCGGACTGCACGTTGATGGACCGTATAAGATGGCGAAGAGACGGACTGCGTGTTGATGGACCATATACGATGACGAAGAGACGGACTGCGCGTCTATGGACCGTATACTATGACGAAGAGGCGGACTGCACATTGATGGACCGTATAAGATGACGAAGAGACGGACTGCGTGTCGATGGACCATATACTATGACAAAGAGACGGACCGTATAAGATGACGGACGTCGATGGACCATATACGATACTATGTATACTATGACAAAGAGACGGACTGCGCGCCGATGGACCATACTATGATGAAAAGACAGACGTGTCGATGGACCATATACTATGACGAAGAGGCGGACTGCACGTTGATGGACCGTATAAGATGCCGAAGAGACGGACTGCGCGCCGATGGACCGTACTATGACGAAGAGACGAACTGCAAGTTTTTCTTGATTTCAAGGGGTAACAGTGTCTTAAAGACAGACTCTCACTCTCTGATATTTAATGTTTGTGTTACTGCATATGCTTTGTCAAACAGCTAGCAGACATGTCTATAACATCGTGTCAGGCAGTGCGTCTGTAAACACTTTAATAATCGCTTTCTTCTCTTAAAGCAAGTCGCCATTCACTGCCAGTGGTTCCCAGCTGACAAAAGTTGTGTCTGTGAAGTGAGTTCACACTGATCTATAGGGACTGTTTATGGGAGATTTTCCAAAATGAGAGGCATTGTGGGAAATATAAGTTGGTTTGCATGAAATGCCCTGTCTTTGCCTTCTCAGATGGCAGCTGTCCGTGAATAATATATATAAAAAAAAGTAACGGTCAAAATTAAGTAATATTGACCTTTCTTTATGTACAAAAATATTCTTGTTACAAATCTGCTTTAAACTGATGAAACATGAATATGTGCACTCTGACAGAAGGTAAAAGAAAAGTTCTAATTGCAGAATTTGTCGTAGGGAGTCTGTATGTAATTGTGTGAGTCACTGTATCGTCCCAGGTTGCTGTGAAATATTCAAAGCCTTTACGTTATTTGGTTTATGTCTGCCTGTTATTGTGATTTTATTTTTAGCATGGTAAGATATGCTATGAAAACCATGTTGTTTTGTTTGTCATTTTCACAATGTGTCCTGAAGCTCAGACATTTCCCTTCCTTAGTAACTCTGTCAGACTGCGAATCCGCTGCCGTGTAAATTGATTGATGGGTGAAGTCATCCAGCAGTCATGTTTTTAACAGTCGAGTTGTGAGAAGTGAAAAGAGTATTTAAGCCCTGTTAGCCTATTAACATTCTGACATGGTTTCCATAACCTTTAGGAAGAAGGGCAATAAGGATAAATAATCTCTTCATCTCCATCTTGAAAACGGCACATTTTGTACTGAAAACATGACCGATGTGTATTAATAAACTGGGGGGGACTCCCAACATACAATCTGCTGTGACATATCCGTATTAGTACAAACTCCCCTCTGTCTATTGTGACCTAATTTGGATTGTATTCCACACGGCTGATGGGGTCCCAATATAGGGGGGGTCCTTTTACACCATGACTTTAATCTTCCAAATCCGATATATTTTCTGACAACCCTCCTGTCTCCGCATTGTTACATAGTACCTACCTATAGATAAGATCATGCCAACCAGCTGTACATTTTCCTTATCCCCCTTCCAAAGCTGGCGGGTGGTCTGTTACTAAACATTGACTTGGGCACAATTTGCACATTGTAAGGTAACATTGCTTTAATTCCTGTATATTTTAAAGGGCCACGCCAGGCACCAGATTCATTACAGCTCACTTTGGTGGTTCTGTTGTTTAGGGTCTCCTGGTGTGGTCCCGACACTTTGTTCCTTGTTTGAATTTTTTTAATCAAACTCCTTATCAGTGTTAATATTGATTGGCTGAGAGTGCTGGGGAATGGGTGCGATGAAGGGTGGTTTCTTTGCGCTGGGAGAAACCTCAGTTTATATGAATACGTCGGATAATGCCATTGGACTGTAGGGAGCAAAACCGCTACAGCGAGCTCACAGCGTACGTTTATCTGTTATTACAGCTTTCATTGTATACGTTTGACTTCCAGTTTGTCACAATTCACTGGTGTTGTGTTTAGTAAAGCATATTTACATATTAAAAACACACACACACAAAAAACACGATAAATGCTTGTTGGTGTTGAAGTTTTTATCCCAGATAATGGCAACAAGTCTCTCGTCCTACGGAAGGGTTAGAACCATCGAGATTTGTGGAGTACACGCTGCCCTTCTCTTATATTACCCTGGAATCTTTGTGAGCACGCGTTATTCATACAGCAATTACCGCGACATCACTTGATTACTTCGTCAATTTAATGGCACCAGGCAATTGGATACAATTATATCCAAACTTTTAGCAAATCCGGCAGAAGGGAACAGCCGCTCGCTGAGACTCGAAGATACCTTTTGACAAGTAACATAATTATCTAGTCATTTCCATTAGAAATCACATTGTCATACAACAATAGCCGCAGAATATCTCGACAAGCAGGACAAAGATAGGAAGAAAAGGACGTTTTTCATCATTCAATACACAACAGAAAAGAACTATACGTGCTATTGATAAATGGTACTTTTC